TGTGTGGTGTGTGTGGTACGTGCCATCAAGTTGGCTCTGACGCCTGGAGACCCTGTGGATGAATGATATCCACAACGTCCTGTCCTCAACAGCCCTGCTCAGCTTCTGTAGACTCACGCCTATGGCCTTCTTTACGGAGTCAATCCATCCTCATATTTGGTCTTCCCCTTTTCCTGCTGCCTTCTACTTCTCCCAGCCTTATTGTCTTTTCCAAAGAATCCTGCCTTCTCATGATGTGCCCAAAGTTGGACAGCCTCCAGTTTTATCATTTTTGCCTCCAGCGATAGTTCAGGTTTTATTTGCTCTAGGAGCCACTTGTTTGTCTTTCTGGCAGTCCAGGGTATCCCTAGATCTCTCCTCCAACATCATATTTCAAATTAATCCAGTTTTTTCCTGTCCTTCACCACCCAGCTTTCACACCTGTACATAGTAATTGGGAACACGAGGGTGTGGATAGTCTTGGCCTTAGTCTCTAATGACACTTCCTTACACTTGATGATGATCTTTCCTAATTCTTTCATTGCTGCCCTTTGGAGTCTCTGTCTTCTCTTGATTTCTTGGCTGCAGTCTCATTTAAATTGATGACTGAACCAAGGTAAACAAAATCTTTAGCAATTTCACTGTCTTCATTGTCTATGTTAAAGTCGTGTAGTTCTTCCGTAGTTATGATTTTTGTCTTCTCGATGTTCAAATGCAGTCCTGCTTTGGCACTTTCTTCTTTCACTTTCATCAGAAGTCGTTTCAAGTCATTGCTGCTTTCAGCCAGTAAGATGGTGTCATCTGTGTATCTTAGATTGTTGATATTTCTTCCACCAGTTTTCACTCCTCCTTCATCTGAGTCTAGCCCAGTTTTTCGTATGATATGTTCTGCATACAGATTAAACAGATGGGGATGGTTAAGGTGACAGTATAACTTATCATCCAAACCAGGACACTTTTGAGAGTAAAGGTGGACACTATTAATAATAACATTGGAGAGCAAACATACATCAGTACTGTCTTGGCCAAACTGGAATGTCTGGTTCTCAGGTGGAGTCCACTGCTAGACTGGGGGACTTCTTAAAGGCAAGGACCATACCTTATTTATCTGGGTATCCCCAGCATCTTCCCAGAGGCTGATGCATAGTAGGTGCTTAATGCACATTTGTTGGTTGAATGGATGACCCAGGAGTAGGGGGGTGCCAAGCAGTCCTTTTGAGAGCTCCACAGGATGCTGAGGGGGGAGCATTGCTGGCAGCCCGGTGTTTCACCTTTGACCCCCATCATTATTTATAACATCTGGGCTTTCCTTGCAGATATCACTTTTGTGTCCTGTATGCTTTGACCTTTGTATCCAGAGCTTCAGAGCATTTCCGCAATGCCCGGCTGAGACCCACCGGTTTGAGCCCTAGAGAGGCACCAGCCTGCACCATGCCCTGGCCTTCCTTCCCTGTCCTCCTCACGGTCAGGGGCTGAGTGCCTAGTGGTCAGCATGGGTGCTGGTGATCGTTCTGTCCATGTGTCTCATGACTAACTGGTTCCAGCAGCTTTAGAACCTGCAATTTGGCTTCTGTGGATCCCCTTCCGCTTTCCCTAGCAGGCTCCTGTTACACAATCCCCACCCTCAGGGCAGCCTGGGTGGCATTCTTGAGCACCTCAGTTTCCCTATCTTTAGGGCCCCTGGGTAAAGATGCTAAGTAAGTATGAAGGGAGGTTTATCGAGGCTGAGACCGAGCCTACATAATTAGCCTGCTTAAAGCCTCCCACCTCCCTAATTATTGTTATGATGGAAGCACCCACTCGGCTGGACATGCCTGTTTCCCCTCGCCTTCTTAGAGTTCCCAAGGGGTTGGAGAGGTGAGCAGGAACTCAAACCCCCTGGATTGCTGGAGGGAGTCTCCTACCTCACAGGCTTGAGTCTAGGGACCCATGAGAGAGGAAATGCCCCACCTCCCTCAACCCCAAACCTGTGTGGGCAGAACTCCCAGGAGGGAAGGGACGACAGCGAGCCACCCTGGGCCTCAGTCTCCCCATCTGTAAAATGAGGGAGTTGCACAGCTGACCTCTGAGTTATCTGGTGCTGACATTGCACATCTCCACCCTGTACTGTGACTGAGCTGGGCTCAGCCGAGCACCCCCAGGGATCTGTGGGAGGACCCGAAGGCCAATCCCTTCTCTTCCTTCCCCTTCTCTCCTTTTCGCGAATTGAACATGGGACCCCAGAGTCCTGGGCAAATGTTTATCCAGAGCTGGGTCTTCCATCCCCTGGCTGCCCTGGGAGATAAAAGGCCCGGGACAAGCAGAGGCCTGGGCCGTACTTCCCAGGTTTGCTGCAGGTGTAGTCCAGTCTGCTGGACATCCAGGCTGATGTTCTGCCATTTTAGCCACCCTAGAGTGTCCTTCTCAATAGTCCTGTTTTGTTCCCTGTTGTATCCTAGCACTTAACTTGGTGTGTTGAATGAATGGTTCCAGTAAAAGTCCTGAGATTGACTCTCATTGGCTCAGACTGAGTCCAGTACCCATCTCCAACCCAATCAGTGTCACAGCCCCCCCACAACACATGGACTGAGATGGGAGAAGGGCAGTTGCCCGAAAAGGAGGTGATGGGTCCTGTTATCAGAAGAGAGGTTGCAGGCAACAGCAATATGTCCCCTGCATCCTTAGAATGCAGAGCTGCTGCTTTTTCTCCTAGAGCCAGCCACAACATAGACTTACACCGAAAATGTACAGGCTCGAATTCTTGTGGGTGCTGGGTGTGCTGAGCTCCCAAGCTGCAGTCCCAGGATAACCCTCATTAGTGGAAGATAAGAATAGGGCTCTTCTCTGGGATGCAGCTGGATCAGGTGGGGGTGGGTGTCAGGGAAGGGGAACCAGCATGGCCAAAGATGCCAGAACCCCAGGATTCCTTCTGGACCAGGACAACAGGCAATTCCAGGCATGGAGCTCTTGCAATTTATCCCTCCCAATTCTAGCCAAGAGCCTGTGATCTAAGGCCTTGTTTGTTCATTTGGTTTGGGGTGGCATGGAGAGAAGGACAGGGCTAGCCTGAGCGTCGGGTCATCTCAGATGAGTACCTTACACCTTATGTGAGGAATATCTGAGGGGACTCCAGAGTCTCAGCTCCCAGTCTCACCTAACCCACTGGCTGACTCCCGAACTGCTCGCTATCTCCTCCACATCCTCTCTCCACACTTGTGGGGATGGGGGTGAGGTGAGGCAGAGTGCCCACAGAGAAGAGGTCTGACTTATGTGTTTTTCAGATATTTTATTAAGAATAAGGCATATGACAGTCACCCCTAAAGCCCAGGGCTCTATTTCTGTGGGTGAGTGAATACACTCTGAAAAGCATTGGATTAAAAAGCGCAGCCAACAGAGAATTTGGAGCAGGATTCCTCTGCCCCACCCATAGGGCTCCTGCCAGGTGGTTCTGAAGCTCTCATGTCCCCCATTCAAGGCTGGCACCTCAGTGACAGGGTGCTTAGGCATGCCCCACTCTCCGCACTGAGGAGATGCTGCTCCACACCCTCTTGGCCTCCTTCTTCTCTACCAGGGAGGCCTCTATTCTGCTGCTTATTTGGGGAAGGGCTACCCCATTTCAGCCCCGGACTGGTCCCTAAACTGCAGGCCACTGTGGGTGGGATATGGGAGGCAGGGGTAGAGAGCCTCATGCTGCATTGCCCACTGGTCCCTGGCTGGCTTCCAGAACAGGGAGGGGTCCCCACCTGCACTCTCCTTCCTGGGTCTGTCCACACTTGGGGCGTGGCTGGAGCTCCAACTAGGGCCCCTGAGTGTCCCTGTCAACATGCCCCTCCCCCAGTGGGGATTCATGCAGCAGAGAAGAGGGGGAAGAAACAATCCTTTCCCTTCTACTTACCCAGGTGTTCCAGGGGCTTGTGGGAAGGGGTCTTTCCTTTGCCAGGGTGGGTCCCCCAGGCTAGGGGAGGGGGAAGGCCAGAAGCTGAGGGCAGGGCCTCTCCCAACCCTGAGGGTGAGGCCAAGGGCAGGACACTGACTCCCAGTCCCATTGTGCTGCACCGAGGGTTCTGTTCCAAATCCAGGGGGCAGGTGGGTGGAGGAAAGTCTCTAGTTTTTTATTTCCAGGAGAGGGATGGGGAAGGGGAATTTCTGTTAAAATTGGAACCCCGTATCTGCCTCAGCTCCTCCTCCAGCTTACTAGTGGAGCGGGGAGGGTTGCTTTATTTCCTTTCCAAGCACCCCCAACACCTCAGCTGAGAGTCAGCTGCCTCAGGACTCAGGACTTTCATCTGGGGGATCTCCAAGCACCCCACAAACAAATATCATTATCTCAGGTTGCTGGAAGAGGGACAGGAGTTGGGAGGTGCTGATGGGGTCACTTGGGGAGAGACAGGCAGGCCACTGGAGGATCCCTGGGGTGGGGGTGGGGTGGGGGCCCCCCAGCCAGACATCTTGGGTACCCAGGAGGGAAGGGGGAGGAGGGCTATTGCTATAGAGCTGGGGGGAGGCCAGGCGGGCATCGCTATGGCTTTTAGTAGGTGGGTGGGTGGATTAAGTACTTCACCATCTCTGTAGAAGAGTCAGTGTAACAAAGTCACCCTGTTCACTCCAAAAGTGTGGTTGTGGAAGATGAGGATCTGGGTGGATGCCTCCCGAAAGACACCCTTTCCCTCCTTCCCACATCCTCTGGGCTCCTTGAAGTGAGTGCAGCCAAGAGAGAAGAGAGGCTTCCTCACACAGACCCGTTCTGAAAGGGAGGGCAACAGAACGAGGGGTACAGGGTCACGCACACTTGAGGGGAGACACAGAAGGCAGAGGCACAACCATATAGACTGGGGTGGGAGGCAGAGCAAGGACCCTGGGCCACTACTGTGGCCCAAGTTAGACTGGAGAGCACTGTCTGTCTCAAGGATGCCCACACCTCGGCCGTATGATTCCAGCGGCTGGACACCCAGACCAGGCCTGGCTATTGCTCAGTGGTCTCAGCAATCCTGAGTGCTGCCAGCTGGGAGGGGGCTGCACGTTGGTGTGGGCTGGAAGTGTGCTCACTGGGTTTGCTTCTTGCTGATTTCCCGCTCGCTCTAACATGATAGAGTGAAAGAGGGTATGATTGGGGATATCCCCCCTCTTCTTCAGGGGGGCTGTGATGGGAGGAGGGTTCATCACCCCCCGAGATTAACTCTGCTCACCTCCCGGATCCCTGGGTGACACAGAATGTGTGGCCTCAGCCAGGGTCAGGACCTGCCAGGATGGGGTGTTTGTGAGGGAGGGAAAGGCCTCTCTCTGCCCCACGTCCTCCCTCGGCAGCCCCTGGAAGACCTCACAGGCACTTAGGACTCAATGCAGGACCAACAGAGGAATGGCATGGAGGGGCTCTAGGGGTTTGTCTTTCTTTCTAGGCTGGGCTTGGGGTGGGGGCAACCAGCTGGACTGGAACTGCACTTCCTGCCTTTGGTGGGGAGAGGGGAACAACGCAGCTAAGAGGTGGGGCACGGTCCGCTTTCCGGTTCACCATTGCTCAACCTAGACAGAAGGGCACCAAGCACCTCACCACCCGACAGGATTGGGGACCTCCCTGGAGGGGGCCAGGCTGAGGACTAACCTGTGCTCCCTCCTTCCCACCCCAGCAAACTCAAACCTCTACCAACTGCCACTTTCAAGCAGCCAGGCCCCTTTCCCGCCTCTGGGTGCAGCCAGCTAATTAGGAAGCTGGGCAACATGAGCACCAATAAACAGGACTAGGACAGCTCCCAGGGCAGCCTTCAGGTTCCCAGCCACCTCCTGAAGGCGGCTGTTGCCCTTCCATATTCTGGCAGGGCAGCCCGACTCCGGAGTGTTCTCCCTCAGTCCCCAGCATAGCTCCTAGTCTAAATACCGAGGTTGGCATCCTGGGGAAGCACTGAGCTGCCCAGGTTCTGCCACCAAACCCACTCTGTAATCCTCTCTAAGGGTCTATGGCTGCTACTTTGCAGAAGGTCAAACTTCCATTAGGCCACACTTTCTCCCCAGGAGCTCTGGGAGGAGGTTCTCCTAAAGTGTTCGGTGCTCACCTGTAAGGACCTATCAGCGGGGGAGGAGTAGGAAACGCGGCTTCCGAGGGAAAGGTCCAGCCTCTAGCCCTCAGCCAGAGCCTCTCCTCAGAGGAAGGCTCGGTGGGAAGGGCAGCCGTGCAGGGCCGGGGGAGGCCACAGGGAGGAGCTGGAAGGCGTAAGGGTGCTAAGTGCCACTCTGGGTCCTTTCCGGAGGCCAGCCCGGCCTTCCCCCTCCCGCCAAAAGATTGTCAGCTTGCCTGGGGCAGGGCGTGACCCTTGCCCCCTCCCCTCCCAATGGCTGGGTGGGGACCAGATAAGGATGGGCACTGCAAGTACGCTCGCTGAACCCCGCGGAGGAGCTCCCTCGCGGGAGGGGAGAGCTCGAAGCTTCGGAAACATCGGGAAATACCAAAGGCGGGGGCGGTTGGAAGGGGTGGGGGAGCGGGGGACGCCTCCGCCCGCCCCCTGGAGGAGGGACCGGCTCCCTCGGCCTCTGGGACCTGCCAGCGCCGCCCGAGCTGCGTCCCCAGCCGGGGCCCGGGCTCGGGCCGGCCTTCCCCCACT